TTAGTCTTTGTAAAATGTATTGAATAAATGAAGTAAGTATTTTTAGTGACTTCATGAGAAACATTTTTCCAATATATGTCGCAAAAAGGCTGAAGTATGAGGGAAATTGCTGCAATAGATACTTTCTTCTTAAAAGAGAAATCATGTCTGAAGAATGACTTTCTCAATTTTATGTCTCTCCACCTGCTGATAGGAAAGGGTAATATACTGTTCATACACCTGTGCAGCTAACATTGCAGGATGTAATCTTGTACAACCTTGGTCGGAGAAAGGCAAAAAGCTGAATTACTCTACTGGAGTATGGAGGAAGTCGGGAACATATGACCACGTCAGTAACAAAGTAATACAGGATCAGGTAATATGCAGTTCCAAAGACATCTATAGGCTCTCAGCATTACAAGCCCACTGGAAAAATGAAATCCTGACTCATCTGGACAAAGAAAAGAAAAAAATGCAATATTAACATTCAAATAACTTCTGATTATCTAATAACAATGCTAAAAGCTCAGACAGCATGAATTTCAAAGCAATTATCTACTGGGGAAAATATACAAAGATAAATGATTTGCAAAATGTTTGCTTGACAATTGATCTATAATACTTATACAGCACCAATAAACGTAGTATCCAGGCAGCAATCCTTCTGAGCGCATTAAAAACCCTATGAAGATACATGCATAAGCCCTACCAGGGGTTCACAATGCTTAAAGAGCTAATTTCCACAAAGAATCAGATAATCAGTTTGATTTTTCAAAGAAAAGCTAGTAAACCATATTCATCTTGAAATTTCTTCTGAAGAATTTCTAAGAGAAATCTTTTTTCTTTGTCTTAATAAAATAGCTGCATGTGAAGATGATAATGGGGATGCTACTGCAGCAGCACACTTGCTATAAAAATCAACACCATTCCAACTCAAGAAACAGGAGGCTAAATATTAACCAAAATTAGGGTAATGATCTCTTATCTCTAAATTAACTCCAATATTTTTCTGAAGGAACTTCAAATTCCTGTGCTATTTATTCCATTTGTTTTAACCAAGTAATTTAACTGGTTAACAAGAGTAACATAGTATCTGCTGTACTAGGTTACATCTAAAATGCTACCTTCTCCAGTGGCCAGTAGCTGATGGTGGAAGGTGAAAAAAAATCAATGCACCTGGACAATTCTGTAATACAGCAAATGAGGTGTACTGATGGAAACTTATGCCAGTTCCTGTGATCACTTTGTGGCCGAAGCAGGAGAAAATCCAAAAATCCCAGTCAATGGTATCAAGTGAGCTAATTATAAAGAAAAAAGCAAATTAACAACAGGTTTTGGAATAATTTTTATTAGATCCTTAGTGGGATTAGAAGGTTCAGGGAACTGGTAATAAACTGTGACACATTTCATTTCCAGGTCACTGATTCACATCAGGGCCATATCAATGGAGGTGGAAAGTTCTTTGTATCTGATGGCGTTTTGATGTGCTTTGCCTAGTGGACCAATATCCATGTTACAAAACCAACATCACAACTGACTAGAGGAGCATTACTGTTTTTCTATCAGAGCAAAGATGCGAAAGGCCAATCTATGAAGATTAAGCTACCACTTCATCTCTAGGAGTGGGTCCTTCACAACAGGGTTAAGATTGGCAGATCTGTACAAGGAGGCTTCTTCTGATGTTGCTCATGCTGTACATATAAGATCTTAGAGGAGAAAGATGTTAAAGTTTAAAATGTTTAAATACTGAAAAGATTTCAAAATGTCATTCTTCAACATAAACTATATTTCCTCCCTGTTTCTTTAAACCAAGTTTTCACTTGTTAATTATACCTCCCGCCCCCCCATGACTCAATTTCTATAACCCTGGCTTTAAGAGTTATTTAAAAGAAATTCTCACTGGAGGTCTTTTGTACATGGCTTTTGAGACAAAGACAAGTTACAATTTCTTTGACTTTCTCTTCCTGTTACCCCACAACTTAGATAGTTTTCCCATCATTTTCTTTTAACTCAACGTTTTCAGTGAGTTACAGCTTTGCATTTTTCTGTCTTAAGTCCTTCATCATCCAACATCTAACAAAAGACTATCTTAAAGAAAGAAAAAATTTACCTTTTTCCTTAGAAGTTGGGAAAAGTTTTCTGGAAAAAACAAGGCAACCATTCTTGGTGTTTCAGATTAGCAAAATTCATTTGCAGAACTGTTGGATACAAAACAGCCATTTAGCTAAGCACACATGCATACATGAGCAGAATCACATTCAGGAGGATCAACTCAGTAGGGAAATGAAAGTTGTGAGATGTATGGCTTGTTAGATAAAAAAAGGCTGCTCCACAAGAGAGAGCCTTCAAGCGATGACTTTCAACAGTGGTCAGACTGTGTGAAGGGACAAAGAGGACTCTGGTGCTAGGCAATAGGAAGGAATCAGGAAGATGACAGACATACGTGGCATGTAGTTTGGAGCAAACCATAAGGTGTCTAAAAACCAAAAAGGGCAGCTTGAAAAGGATTCAGAAGTAAATGGGAAACCAGTTTAGATTGTGGAAGGGTCTATATGCTGTACAGAACTCAATCATTACTATTATAACTGGGGGGTCTCTGGGCACCAAACACAAACTCTAGTTGGGGGAGGAAATGGCTGTGCTTGTTTCTGTGTGTGAGAAAGTGAGCTGAAGCATTGTGACCCTGGTATTCTTCAGTAACTGGAAGAGATATGACAAGAAAGAGAGTACAAAATACACGACAGCAACAATTTTTTCATTTTCACCCTAATTTTAGAGGAACATAATTCTAAGTTTTTCATAGGAAGACCACATGGCTAAAGGGATTAATAGGAAATGGAATCTCACACAGCTGTGTCACTAGTTTGAAGTCAGTCCAACTGAGCAACCACCAAAAGTTGTGACCATCGGATACCTAGGTGAAGTGACTTAGTTTCAGCTTCTTTGAACATGGACCCATATAAAAACCTACACCCTAACAAACTACTCAATCTATGGAGCATGCACAGTACTCATCTGCAGTACCTGATATGTGGAAAAACACAAATCTTCAGTCTCCAACATTTCAGTCTCCAACATTTCTGCCTTCAAACTGGCAGCCTTCAGAAGTACTAAATAATTAAAAAATAAAAAGTTGAAAAGTTTGTATTTACTCAATGAACCAGAATAGCTCATTTAGAATACTGGAGAAATAGGATCTAAAATTAATTTATTTTGCCTGAAATTCAGGGTAAAAAAGTCAATTTCCCTAATAAACAGTTCAAGTCCTTATGACAAATATTAGAAGTTACCGTACAACCAGACAATTATGACATTTCAATATAAAACTAAGTTCTATACAAAAACAATAGAGCACATTTTTGCAACAAGGGGTACACACAGAGAGAAAGAGAGAACACATACATATACTATGAAAAGGAACGGAGATTCAGGCCTGCAGAACTAACACCAAAAAACCCTTCAGACCACCGATTTAGAAAGCTACTCTGAGGGACACTCTTACCTCAGGGATGATACTACTTCCATTTCCCTTCATCTCTTATTTTACGAATAAAAAGGCTGCCTGCAGAGTAATGATGTTCCAAGAAAAGACTTAAGGGGTGGTGGTAATTTGCTCCCAATTAAATGAAGGGTGCACAGAGAAAAATATTATGAGATCCAACTACCACTTCTGCACCTGTCTGATGAGAGGTGTATTGGATTTATATTACATTTATTTGAGGGCTGATGGCTACACAAGGCTCCAATAGCTGATATGCCTACAAGAGACCTGAGGAGGAGCCAGAATGCTACTTCATGGAATGTGAAACACTTTCTTTTGGATATAGGAGTTTCTATATTTCTACAGGGCTAAGTCTTAGGGTTTTTTCCCTTCTAAGAAGAGAAGAACTGCAAACCTATGAAACCAATGCAGAACATAGTGCCCTGTGAAAAAGTGCGTATTTAGTATTTCTGCAAGCTCTCAGTTCTATTAGCATTTCTCACATTTATAAGTTTTAAAAAGTAACTAAATGAACAGACCATAGTATGGACTGATCGTTTTCCCAAATGTAGTTTTAAAATGGGGAAAAAAAATCTTTGCAAGGACAAAGGAGATATATTAATATATAGGCTTAAAGTTCTTAAGACTATAATACCTACCATTCACTTTTCTTAATGTATTCTTCTGTTACATTTCTTTAGTGCATATATCTTTGTGGGATCAAGTTTTCTTCTGTAGGTTCACAGTATATGCATACAAATGCTCTTCTTATTTATTAAATGTTATTCTATTTGAAGCAGTTTGAGTTAAATTACGTTATCAGTTTTAAAATATGTTTCCAAGGCTTTTATGCAGCAAAACCATATACTAAAATACAATTGTATATCACCTAAAAATGAGACTTCACATTTCAAGTTATCAGTTTTTTATATGACGTTGATGTAAAAAAAAAAAGACAGTGATTATAGCTCCTTTTGTGAGTATGGGGGGTGGGGGGGTCACCATTTGGAATGGTCTTTCTTCTTTCCTTTTTTATTTTTTTCCATTTTCAAGGACCATTGTCTTAGCTTTTTTGGTTATTGCTTTTTTTCTTTTTTTTTTTCCTTTTTTTTTTTTTTAAAGACC